TTCCAGCTGATGCGTTTCTTTTGTGTAATTCTTATATAATATTTCCATTGAAGGACTTAAACTACCTGGATTCTAAATCTAAAAACTTATTATAATAAAAAACTTATTATAAATCATCAACTTATTATAATATTTGCTATTATTAAATTTGACAGTTGTGAAAAAATTCTTTACCTGAGAAAGTTGTATATGCAGTCTTTTTAACAAGTAAATAAAAGACGTGGAAGAGCATAACAGTGCAGCTAAGGGCTTGTTTAGCCTTGAGAAGAGGAGGCTGAGAGGAGACCTGATCACTGCCTACAACTACCTGAAAGGAGGTTGTGCAGAAGTGAGTGTTGGTCTCTTCTCCCTAATGACAGATGATCGGACGAGGGGGAATGGACTCAAGCTGCGCCAGGAGAGGTTTAGATTGGACGTAAGGAAGAAGTTCTTCACTGAAAGGGTTATCACGCACTGGAACAGGCTGCCCAGGGAGGTGGTGGAGTCACCATCCCTGAATGTGTTTAAGAGACGGGTGGATGAGGTGCTGAGAGATATGGTTTAGTGGCGGACAGATATGGTTGGACTGGATGATCTCTAAGGTCTTTTCCAACCTAGTGATTCTATGATTCTAAGGAAAATGGCAAGGAATTGGAAGTTTCCTCTTAGCTATTTATTTAAAGCTTGCCTTTTCTTTTTTTTTTCCCTTCCATCAGAGTTAATTTTACAACTGGATGGTTTTGCTGAGACAGAGTTCTGAATATCCAAATAACAAATGTGATAGGATTCACTGATTTGTATTCTTGGTGTGTATTTGGCATCTGAAAGTACTAGGTGATGAATAGAAGACAAACGACAGTTGACTATAGGAAGTCACAGATGATTGCAAGGTGACCTTTGTTTTACTTAAACTGGTTGCTCAGGAGGTTGGTAGAATTGGAAGGTGAGCTGAATTTGAGTATATTTTGTGCAGTAGCTGTGTATGAGTGTGCTGCTGTTTGATCTTTCCCTGATGAACTCTCAGCATCTTACATATCACATCTGATGAAACACTTAAAGCTGTAATGATGGTTGTGTAGAATCATAGAATCACAGAATAGTTTGGGTTGGAAGGGACCTTAAAGACCATCTAGTTCCAAACCCCCTGCCATGGGGGGGTTGGAACTAGAAAAGCCTCATCCAGCCTGGCCTTGAACACTTCCAGGGATGAGGCATCCACAGCTTCTTTGGGCAACCTGTTCCAGTGCCTCCCCACCCTCTCCAGGAAGAACTTCTTCCTGATACCTAATCTACACCTCCCCACTTTCAGTTTAAACTTGTTACCCCTTGTCCTGTCACTACAGGCCTTTGTCAAAAGTCCCCCCCCAGCTTCCTTGTAGCCCCTTCAGGTGCTGGAAGGCTGCAATAGGGTCTCCCCAGAGCCTTCCCTTCTCCAGGCTGAACAAATCCATAAACTTTAAAAATGTAGCATAGATAGATGGTGACTGTAGCAGAAATGCTACGGATGAAATACAAAAATAATTCAGCTGTGTTACATAAAGTGATGGTAGTGTAACTGTTTTCTTTTGGGAAGGTAATTTCTGGATTCATGAATAGAGAATGGTCTTGGAAGGAGGAGAACTAGAAACCTCTACATTTGAAATGGTAAATGACAGTGCATCGCCAGCTGATTAGTTTCCTTTTTAGTATTTGCATCTGAACCTAGGAATGGTTTCTGCTTTTTAGCCACTCACATTTGAACAAGTTTTTTTCAGGAACTTGGTAGGTAGTAGCAAAAAGACTGTGCTGTTTTTTTGGGTACAGTTAAGATGTGTAGACAGTTGTGTGTTGGTGGTTTGGTGTTTTTTTTTTTTTCCCCTAGAAGTGCTGTCAGCAGCTGTCTGTTTCCGAATTTGATCTTATTTAAGCCAAGAGTTCTTTTCCAGAGATGGTTGAACTATGTTATGGGTGGGATGATGCTCCTGGCAGTTTGTTTGCGCTTCTAGAATAATTTTTTTTCCCTCTCTCTTAAAGACTAGGGGAGGAAAGAAGTTGTTCCAGAAATCACCACTATGCATTTCTTATATATGCTGTTAGGGTAGTATTTTGAAATTCCTAATATTCCACCATCCGTATGTCTATAATGTTTAAAGATGTCTCTGAACAAATATGGTGTTTGCTGGCTTTTAGATTTTTCTCTATGTGTTGGGTTGTTAAACATTTTCTCGTGTTTGAGTATGCTGATAAACAGACAAAGCAGTATGTTATTAATATAACAAAGCAATAATCATGCATTATTTTACTCCACTTGTGTGGTTTCTTACAGCAGAGACAGTGCAAAACTAGTTTTACACCATCTCAGAAAGCACGGTGGGATTTTGGGGAATGTTTTTTGGTGGTTTATTGGTTTGTTTTTGTTTTTGTTTTCTCCTGAATATTGTTCTGGGTGCAGACTTGTTCATCCCCCAGAATATGGTACAGAAAAAGCCCAACTGACCAGACTTGCAGCACTTTGAAAACCAGCCCAGTTTTAACATAAAACTGGAGTGCTTTATTGTTCTGGCACATGGCTTTAAACTGCTTTCATCATGGTCAACTAACTGAATGTATGTTAAACATGAAGGTTGAATGTCTTTGTATGCAGATACACACTAAAGCTTCAAGCTTATGTATTTGCAGAGAGTGTTGAAATGTTTGTTCTGGTTGTTTAGGGTAGTAAGGCAAGGAAGATTACTGCTGAAGGATGTCAAGCTTTTATTGTCTTAATACCTAGTCAAACATTTTAAAAAATTTCCTAGTGTTTTTGGTTGGGTGGGGTTTTTTTTTCCTCCCAGGGCAGTTTTTCTTTGGAACTCAAATCACACTTCTGTTACACAATAGGTAATGTATGTTTCAGTGATAGACTGAATTTGTTCCTTTGTCTTGAAATTCTAGTGAAATTGGAAACTCACTAGAACTAATAATGATCAAGAGAAATAATAAATACTGCTGTTTTCCTAGAAAATAGGGGGAAAATACTGTCACATACTTTGCTTATTTTATGTGTCAAGCAAAGTTCAAGCAACAAAAGGTGAAGTAGCCAAACAATAGGTATGAGAATAAAGTAATCAATTACCTTGTAAAAAATTTAGGTGCTGGCTAACATAGGGCAAAACTATTTGCTATATATGAAGGTAACATAAGCTTTCAGATATATTTGAAAACTTCTGCTAGGAAACATAAAGAATGATGAACGTTTCAACCTAAGTGTTGTTTTTTGCAGTAGCGGTATTTACAGCTTGGTTACATCGATGGCATTTTTCAGTGCAGAGTTAACCTAGTAGATATGTGGAGCACTTGTAATAGCACAGGACTTGTGACAACTAGGACACTTGGTTCAGAACCCTTATAAAAGTTGTTAGCTGTGTTCAGAAAAAGATATTAGTGACATCGTTTACCTGGATCAGTATGATGGGTTGTTGAGCCTGTGTGGCTTAGGGCAATGTGTGGCTATGAGCAGATGATGGGAGGGAAACTTTTTGGACTTAAACAAATAGTAAAATTTAGACGTAGGAAAAAAGTCACGAGGTTTGCTGTTCTTTCATTTTTGTTTTACAGTTGACTTTTGCTGAGGCTTGTAGGAATTACTGTGTGTTATTTTCAGAAAGGTCCAGGTGCTGAAGAGCCTTAGCACAGCACCTCCATCCTAGGATATGTTACATGCATTTTGTCCTAGTTTATAATGTGTGTGAGGGTTCTTTCTTCTATATATCTATGTGTGGTTTTGCATTTTAGCACTGGGTTTCTGTGTGTTTGTTTTGGTTTTGATCTTTGGATGACTGAGAAGATTGAATGTGATGAGGTGAGATGGTCAGATTAAAGTGAAGACAGATCTTGAGAACTTAATGAGTCCATGGCTAATTATAAGGAAGGGGCATGCACTTAAAATTGTTTGCTTAAAGACCAGGAAAATGTATCCCTTGGCAATGAATTTAGAGTAAAAACAGCATAGAAATGCGATACACATTTATAGGGATTGAAAATATTTTTTGGCACCAAAATATTCTTAAGTCCTTGTATTCTTGAATGTGTGTGACATTGCTACACAGGTGAGCATTAATTATTTATTTGTCATAAGGAGTACCTGGAAAGAAGTGTCTTGTGCCAAAGGCATGTATAGCTCACATGTAAATAATGAAGATGAGAGAGAGACATCTATGAAAATGAGAAGATACAGAGCAGGCCATACAGGAAAAATATATATAGAGAAAAACAATTAAGCCAACAGATGTGGTTTTATTCAAGTTAAACAGTACAGAAACTTGTGTTTGGGAAGTAGCGAAGGCTGGTGTGAAATTGAACAAAACAAGGTATTCATGGTTTTTGTGTGCTAAGTATGTTTCTAATTCTTTACTTTCCTGACAAACAGTTGGATAAATTGTTCTCAGCGGTGCGTGTTTGGTTTGGGGTTTTTTTTGAGTTACATTGACACCTTGTTGGTGCCAGTGCAACTCATTTGGAGTCCTTGCTAAACTCTGTCATTACAACTGGTAGTCGTGTTGAATTCATTCATTCAATTCAAAGCAGGGGTTACAGTCTCTGTGTGTGTATGTGCGTGTACACGTGAAGCTCTTCACCTTAAAGAAGGAAGCGAAGGACGTTGGCAGAGGGGAAACACCCTCCTACTGAGGCTTACTTACTAGAAAGTACAATCAAGTAATTGATTGATGGTCTCTGGTAAGGAGCTGATGAACCAGGAGCGTGTTGTTTCTTATAGTGCTGCATAGTTGGGATCTTTAGTAGAGGAATGACCTTGTCCACTTGAACTTTATGTCTGTCTTGATAGTTCTGCTTCTGTGGACTTGGTATTATTTTACTGCATCTTTACAGGTATAACAAGAAAGTAAATACTGTTCTAATATCAGATGATTATGCCAAGAAATGCTGTTAACTATATGCATGTGTCATGTTAGGATTCTTGGAGTTTCTTTGAGAAGATCAGAGATGCATTTAGTGAAGGAGATTGTGTAGATAAAAGCTTGAACTGTGGTGGAGTATGTCCCATGGACAAGTGCAAGGTGAGGAGCACCTGTGCTTTCTCATGGTGCGCAGACAGGCAGGAAGATGGAGTAGGCCCTGGAGACCACGGGAACAGCCAAGGTAAGATAAAGTTGACGCTTGGAATATCTGAATGAAATAGTCCTTAAGGAAGTGCTGTTTGGTGGAGATGCATTTGATCTTTGAGCAGATAAAGTAAGGAATTCGACTTCCATTCCATTCTGTGGCGCCTCTAGAGCACTGTTAAGGTTTACCTCATATGCCATTTGACATAAACTTCATTTTAAAATACATTTTAGTGTTTTTCATGTTGTTGCTTACAAGTTGTTCATGTATTTGAAGGGGTTGAGCAGTAGTAGAAGTTAGAGACTTGGACACTATCATTTCCAAGTCAGAAAAACGTGGTTTTGGGTATTTTGCTCTTCTTTATGTAGTCTTCATAAACTGTTCTTCAGTAACCTAAAATGCAGACTGGATTCCTTCGTCTATTAGTCAGATACAGAGCTTCAGTTTGGATCATTTCTTCATATAAGACCATAGATAGTCTGTGATTTTGGGTGATCTTGTGGTTGTTCTGTCCTGTGTGGTGTCATTGTCACCACTGCTGTTCCACCCTACTTTCCTTCTTCCACACCCTTGTGTATTTAGCTTCTTTGGTCATGAAGATTTACTGGGAATGATTGAAACTGCACAAATTTCTGAAATAAATAAAATGTAACTTACTCTTTTTGGCTGCTTAAAGTTAGGTTTTTAAGTCTCACAGAATACTGTGTTTTAAACCAGATCAGTAATACAATTTCTTGCTCTTATAGCTTTCTGTCTCTTCCTGATTTCTCCCCTTTAAGCACCATCAGCACCAATCAATAAAGTTAGTATTTAAATGCTGCTTATCTGATACAAAACCAGTTAACATCTTAGCATCTGAAAGTGATATATGCTGGAAGTTTCTTGTTTCTTGTGGGTTGGTGGGGGGGGTGTGTGAGTTCCACATCCTTAGTTGAGTTGATGATCACAGGAATGGTAGAGGGAAAGAACGGGGCTGAGGAGTCCTGGGACAGGTTCAAGGCACAAGACTTAGGTTTTCATTTGCTTGTCTACATGGACAGGGCAATGATTGTGGGCCGTTCACCCAAGGAGGATATTTGTGTGCTATAGTGCTGGTTGAGGAGCAGAGGGAGATTACTGGAAGGACAGGGAACTGAAGGAGAAAAGTGGTGGGGGCACGACAGACGCTCCTGAGTTAGTCACCACTGGCTTATATGAGTTAAATGCTAAGAAAGCTGAGAAATAGTGTCATCTAGGCTTGGACAAAAAATTGTGTGTGTAATCCCATGACAAACAGAATTTTGACAGAAATTTGGGAAGGGAGATGGGTTAAAATTTCTTAAAACAGGAATACTTTTGGGTGTAAGAATGTTCTTGTGTCCCCTCCAGATGCAGGGGTTCATGGATATGTTCAGCCTGTTGGGAAGGTGGGGTATGGTAGGTGGGCTTCTCTTCTGTAAGCACTGATGATTGCTGCTCCTCAAATAAGAAAGCAGGGAAACACTTCTTTCCCCAGGTGGATTTGTAGTGTGTTAATGTTTTTCAAATAATATTTGAAATACTAGCAAATTACTTGTAAATGCTTTGATTGGTCATTTTAACACAGTAGATCACACACTGAAGTGTCTTGTTTATGAAATTTTAGACCTGAATCTTGTGTATCTTTTTGTCTTTATAGTGATGAAGCAACCATTATCTCAGGTACAAAGCTTGCTAAACAAGTTTTGAAAGAAGTTCAAAGGGATGTAGAATCATGGATATCCTCTGGAAACAAGAGACCTCATCTCACTGTCATATTAGTAGGAGACAATCCAGCTAGTCGTATCTATGTCAGAAACAAGATAAAAGCAGCTGCAGCTGTAGGTATGTGTTATGGAATGTAAATGAGTCTTTGGTAAGCCCAAGATACTGTTACTTAAAAATAGTGGAGGGAACCCCTGTTGTAACTTAATTTAACTTGCACTATTTTCTTCCTGATCTTTGAACCTAAAGAAAAGCAGTTGCATTGACATGTGAAGAAAGTGGTTTTAACGGCATGTGAATGGTAGCCATGCGCTTGATTCTGTATCTTAAAATATTGCTGGAAAACGCTTTGCACCCTTACTGTTGGAAACTAAAGGAGAACACTATGGATGGTTTTTGGCAGTTAAATGTCTTAACTGGCTTTGAGAGGCTTGAATGAAGATAATCAGAGAGAAATTATGTCAGGTTTTAGTTGTTTTGGCAAGACACTTGAGTTATTTTTGGATGTGAAATATTAGCTTTGGAGCATGCCTCCTCCGTACTTGGTAGATTCTTTCTTTTTCATGCAGATTTTCTCAGCCCACCTCCAACTGTAGTAGCAAACCCTTCTACCCCAGATTGATGGGAACAGCGATTATGTAACCAGTTTTGCAGGAAGATACTGAGAAGAGTTTGTCTTTGTAATGTCAATCTTCATGTGCATCTGCCATATCTTATGGAATATCTGTCCTGTTGAATGCCTTAGGTCCACAGTAGAGCCAGGCAAGCCAATCCAAAACCAAGGCTTCACGGCTCTGAATATGAAGGGCAAAATTTCTGACATAATGAAATCAAACAGTAAAGTTAAATGATTATCTGGGATAAAGCCTGGTCACTACAACATCTCATCTCCAAATGAAAGAGTATCGTAACCGAAGCAGGGAACTTCATTATTGTGGCTGCCAGTGAAACTGCATTCTTGTGAAGTAACTTGAAAAAGTTTATTTTCTAATAACGAGTTTTGTCCCACTGAAGTAGAAAAGCTGTCAGATACAATGCCACCAATGCTAGTGTAGCTTTATCTGTTCAGCTTTAGTTGTATTTCTCAAGAGCATGTTTGTAGGAAAGTTTTCTGCTTTATTTTCCAAATATTTCTAAACTCTTGTTTAATTTCAGAATTGCTCTGTCCAACTATATATATATATTTTAATATGTGTTGTTGTACTTGACATATGGTAATGCAGATATCAAGTGAAGACCAGAGAGTGAAAGCAGAATTTTTAGCAAGCCAAGACAGTTGTTGAGCATTGGACAGATTTTTAGACAAAATGACTAAGCTGTCCATAGGTGCATTTCCTGATACTAATATGTCTTCTGTTTTTGGTTCCTATCAGGCATTTCTAGTGAGATCATACTGAGGCCTAAAGACATTTCTCAGGAAGAACTCTTAGATATGACGGTAAAACTCAACAAGGATTCAAGAGTTAGTGGTTTATTAGTTCAGCTACCTCTGCCAGGTAGGTGACCTCTTTTGTCCCACTCCTCACATACAGTCAGTGATACTAATATGTCTTCTGTTTTTGGTTCCTATCAGGCATTTCTAGTGAGATCATACTGAGGCCTAAAGACATTTCTCAGGAAGAACTCTTAGATATGACGGTAAAACTCAACAAGGATTCAAGAGTTAGTGGTTTATTAGTTCAGCTACCTCTGCCAGGTAGGTGACCTCTTTTGTCCCACTCCTCACATACAGTCAGTGTAAAGTGGGTCTTTGTGACACAAGAAGCTCTTGCAAGAGGACATGGATAATGAAGGATTAGTTGAGATGGGAATTTTTTTGTTGTATAGTAGCCTGCAGTTAATTTTAAACAATAAAACAAATGAAATCAAGAGAATCATTTCATATTGTCAATGCTGCCTTTTTTTAAAGTTCAGTCAGAGTGCTTGTTTCAAGGAATTTCCCTCCACACACACTTTATCCAGTTTTTGTCTTTTGTGTGTGATTTGGTTGGTTGGTTTTTAACATGTTGCGCTGTTTTGCCTTGAACTCAAAGACCTTTGCGCTATTTTCATCCCCTCCATCATGCCAAGTTATGCTATCTAGTAGATGATGCTACAGGCTTTCTCACAGTGATTCCAGGTTTTGCCTTAGACATTTGTTTGTGTTTCCTGTGCTTTCCCTGCTGTTCCAGGTGAGCTTTGTGCTAAGGTCCTAAAAGCCTCTACTATATTCTTGGGTTTTATTTCCCTTCTCTGAATTTGTAATAAAATCTCCCTAAAATATCGCTTGGCAGTAGCTGCCAAAATACCATAAAACTTGCAGGTTTCGTCTAAATCTACATAAGCCAACTTAGTTAAACTGCTGGATGCTTTCTAATGTAGAGGTACTTAAATTACTAGTCATAATAAATTGACTGGCATGTTGGGTTTTCCTGGTCTTGTGTTTCCAAGTGTTATGTTTTGTTGTGCATTTATACTGTATGGTCTGAAGGGCAGGAGCTGTCTCTTTTGGCACGATTTCTAGGACTAGCTGGGTCTTCAGGGGTCACTGTTTATAGGCATCTCTGATCGTGAAGTTGCAGCTTTGCTTCTAGGTAAGCTCTTCATTTCTACTCTTGTTCCCAGTCTTGGTCTTCACTTTCAGACAGTTTTCACTGCTTTTATTTCTTATCTACAAAACATCAAAAAAGTGGGGCAGGTGTTGAGTGTTACAGAGGAAGAGAGGCTTTGTTAGTATTTGTAATATCAACATTCGTGATATAGTAGGTTTTGGGCTAGCTGGAATTGGCCACTTGTAGAAGAAAGCTGGCCACAAGGTGGAAGTGTAACCCCAGTTAAGGAGACTAACATCTTGGACTCCAGGGAGCCAACTCTGGGAGCTGATAAATGTGGTAGGCTTACTTTGAACATACTTCTCTCCCACTAAGAACAGATTAGGGGAAACAGATAATGTACACATTTTCATTTCAGTAGTAAGAACACATGCAAAGATGAAGCACTGACATCCCAGGGATGGAAATCTTTGAAGCCTGTAGCAAAGGAAACATCTGCTGGACTCCCAATCCCAGAAATGGGATTGTTGTGCTCACCAGAAATGGGAGGTGTCATGTGTCACTTGTTTTACTTGTGTGGGTACTCAGTAAAATTGTTAGGTACTGCTTGTGGAAATGCCTTGTTTATGAGGAGGATATCAGGTCATTACAGACTGCTTTTGAGCTGTTTGCCTTCATCAACACGTAGTTCAACAACAGACCAGTCTTGAAACATAGTGAATTTAAACCCATTCAACATAGGAAAAGAAAAAATCCCTGATGATTTTGTGTCGATTCAAAGTCTGATGCTAGTACCCTTAAATGGTTAAGCCCTAAAATATTTGGTTTAAGATCCCTCTCAAGAACTACGGTGCATCTCTCACAGTAACAACATGAAGACTAACTAGCTGCCTTCTAAGCAACAAAACTCACTGGTTTGAGGCCAGAGTGTTGCCTGCCCTGGTAAAAACCTTTAATCAGTAAGCAGAACTTTTTCAGTATCACATTGTCTGTATAGAGAAGTTAAATATGCAAGTTCCCATGAACTGAAAATCTTCACGTCCTTGTTTCCATAATAGATGTCAGCTACAGGTCTGATTACTGAATTATTTATTTTTCTCCTGAAGAAACCTACACAGAAGGGCAGAAAGCTAAGTTAGCTCATTTTCCAAAATTCTGTTGATTTGCCTTGTAATGGAAGGAGACAAAGCCTAGAAGTTGTGAAAACTTGATCAGCAGGGGCTGCATATTCCAGAGTCGAGGTTGTGTGGGGTTATGGGTTTTTGCAGTAAACCACACACAGGTGTGGCTTTTGATCAACACTGGGATAAAAATAGAAGCAGAAAATAGCTTTGTTCTCTTTCACTTTTGTGAGCTGGAGCAACTTAACTTTGAGGATTGTCATCTTCACCTGAGGCAAACTTTCTTTCTGTGCACCTTTTGCGTGTACTACTTCTGATGTGGTAATGGTTTTGTGGAGAGTATCCGGTATCTTTTTTTTAAATAGCCTGGAAGATGGCTATGAAAGGTTAGATATTTATTGAGATAGAATATGAAAAACTCGCAATTTTCTCAGTTGTTATCAGCAAAGTAGTATGAACCAAATGAGTACAAACATGATGTCCCTCTGTTGTGGAAGACTGTGTCAGCCCAAGTGCAGCCTGCTTTGGTGGAACTGCCTGTTAAAATCGTAGCAGTGTCCCAGTACAGCTTCTCAAAATCATTTCCAGGGAGCTCATTGCTGCTACTGAACAGTTTCTTCCTTGCGCCATGTCTCTGTTTCTTCATCCACATGGTATGTCTTTGAATCCCTTTTCTGCTATGTTCCTATTTTCATCAGTCTTCCCTTTTGAAAACCAGTCTTTGTTTTTTGTATGTCAACATTAGAGGCACACGTTCTTTATTGTGTAAGAGTTTGTCTGTGCGTGTGGGAGCAGGAAGGCAAGTGGTGCTGGATGTCACCTTACAAGTTTAGTTAACAAGAGGAAGGGCGAGCGCAGAGAGCAACATGGCATGGGGAGTAGCGTGGAATGACAGCAGGTAGGTTTTGTAGGAAAACTACCAGCTGGAAGGAGGCCAAGCATGTTCTTTGAGACTGGTAGTAACAGTAACATACTTCAGAAATCACTTTGTTCCTCTGGAAATAAATGAGGTTATCTGCAGTCGTGTGGAAACAAACCAGAAAATACATTTCTCGAGGCAAATAAAATCTACTCATTAACATAGTAACTGTCTATACAGCTTGAATTGGTTTCGTTTGTTGGGGATGGATGGCCAAGAGAGTGTTTCAGAAGTGTCTCTGGTGAGGAAGGGAAGGGGTCCCCATCCTCTCAGGCCCGTGTCAACCTACTTGTCCCCAGCTATCCAGCTGCATTTCTTTCCAGTACTATGTGCCCTTTTCTGAAATCCTACAAATCGGTTTTGAGTTGGGGGGGAAAAAATTCCATGTAAAGCGTGGTTTCTTTTCACTTTTCATGAAAGCATCTATTCTCTATTTCTGGGAAGCTGAAGACAGACAGCAATGAGGTGGCGTTTGTCAGAGCAGCATTCTGTTTTATCCCAGGCACAAGGAAAAGCTTGGCTGCCAAGTTCTTGTTTGATGAACAACTAACTTGCCTAAGGTTAACAAGTTTTCTTTTGCAATAACTGTTTAATAGGTTACTCCAATTTTCTTTCTTCTTTTGGTGTTTGGGGTTTGTTTGGTTTTTTTTATTCCCCAAGTTGACATAAAAACAAGATTATGGTTGCCTCCAATCAGGATTAGGCTAGTTTGACTTCCAAGAGACTCTTTCATCAGTGTATATAACATCTTAATTTCCACAGAACTTTCCTATTAGGATTCAGAAGGAAACTTCCCCCGTCAGAAAATGGGTAGTTAAATTCCAAATCATACCAGTCTGATTTAACTCTTGGGGTTTTTTAATTAGAAATCTTTTGACAAGAGGTTACCACATTTTAAGTTTTTTAACACACATGGTATCTTGTAATTAGGTAGCTCCTTTTACTCCTCGATCACAAAACAACCAAGCAGAGGTAGTTGACTACTAAAATCAGGCATCCTATATACGTCTATAAAATATTTTACTGGGAATGTCTGAATTTTGTAATCAGTTCTCATTTCCCTTTATTTGGCTTTCACAACATCCTGTTATGCTCCCTGAATTGGACATGGGGATATATTGCCTCACAAACACAGACTTCTGTTAGGGATTTAGCCTAGAATGGGCATCGTATCATTATATAAAAGATGCAAAAAGTAATCATTCTAAGATGGAAGGGAAAGGGGAAGTGTAATCCTGGAAGCAGCTGGGGATGTTATTAAACAATGAAGGTATAGACTAAAATTGTGACTGAAGTACCACAGAGTAAATACATCTGTTAAAGAAAGCTTGTTTTCTGTGTCAGTGTTGGGATGTTTTGTAGAGCTGTTCCTCTGGGGTGTCTTTACATTTGCAAGCTTTATTCTTGGGTTTGTAACTTTGCGGAGGTAGGACTGGCGAACACGCATGGGGTTTTCTCATAATCGGTACCAGTGTTTATGCAGTATAAGCTTTAAGCAGTTGATGACCTATCCCATATCCATGTTGCGTATGCAAAATGTTCTTTACAAATAAGTATGAGTAATTAAATTGTATGCAGGGATTGTCGTTTAAGCCATACTTAGTGTTAAGAGCTCATCAACGTCAAACAATTCTATTCATTCACACAATTTTCCAGTGATGTAGGATACGTTTTGGTCCTACTGATGAGCAAATTGCTGAAAACAGTTTTATTGTTGTATAATGGAAAATGAAATGTAGACCTTCTGAAGTTATTTCAGCTTAGGGTTTCCATACATTTGTTTAAAATGTACATTTTAAAATTTATTCTAAAATTTGTTTAAAATGTAAATTTCTAAATTTAGGCCATGTATACTATGTGATTTTTAGAGACACATAATACACACAGTAACTTTTCTCCTATGATTTTTTTTTCTTGTTGTTGATTCACTTAACTAACACTTCCAGAATGCATAAGTGACTCTGAAGTGTCTTGCATAAATACTTAATTTTATAGTAAGTCATTGCTCTAGGCTGAGTATCAGCCTCTCATATTTTGACTGTATTGCTTGTATTGGCAATGTCACAAACTGAATCATTTAATTTTCAGTAGATGACTTTAAAAGGTGAAGTTGTAACTGCTGCCTTTAGAAGCGGGAGTGTAGTTTTTTCACCATGAAGAATAATAATTACCCTAGCTAGTCCAGTCTTCTGCGTTGTCCGTGTAATGATTTAGAGAGTATTGATGACTTCTGACAAGGGAAAGAACTGTAATTTGAAAGCAATGTGTTTCCTAGATCACATAGATGAACGAACAGTTTGTAACGCTATTGCACCTGAAAAGGATGTGGATGGATTTCATATTATGAATATTGGACGCCTGTGTCTTGATCAGCCTTCTGTAATACCTGCCACTGCTGCTGCCGTGTGGGAAATTATAAAACGGACAGGTAAGAAACTGAACTGTCCTGAAACTCGTTTTATCTTGGAAGATGAATGAAGGATCAAGTCAGGTGTGAGTTAAAAGGTGTAGGTTATCTAAATGTATTGGGCTGATTGAAGAACAAACATTTAGAGGGTTAATCTAAATAATAAGGAGGTGCCAGATAGATGAGATGTTTTGCCAGTAGCGTAACTATTAATTAAGTGTTAGATAGTAATCCTCGTAGAATACTTCGTGAAACACTTAGGTAAGCTATTTTCTGTATTTTATAACGTTGCAAGGAACTCTCTCATATTACTGACCACCTGATAGAAGGTTTGAATGCATGAATTCTTGTGGAGGAAGGGGAAGAAGCAAGACCAAAAATGGGAATATTTAATTCAGTACTAGATGGGGAAAAGAATGTGCATGTACTCAATAGTTGTCTTTTTGTAAGTATGGCATACATGCTGTTATTGGTATAAGAGCTTCCATTTCCCTTTGTGGTCAGAGAGAAATGAAGTCCCTCTGGAAGGCGATTCAGGTAACCGGAATGAGTTGCCAGTTTTGCTTCTCTGACGTGAAAGCTGAAAGTTGTTTTGTGGATTCATCCCTCAAGTTCAGCCTTGTGGGTTTTCAAGTCATCTTGATGTCAGCAGTCCACAGCAGCAAATAACTGTGTCTTGGGGATTGAGAAGAAGGGGTTTAGGATATCAAAATAGTGGAATAAAGTTTTTGAGTAGTTATTTGGGTTTTTCTTCTGTCTTTGGTCTCTACTTCCCCCCTTTAGGAATACAAACATTTGGAAAAAATGTTGTTGTAGCTGGAAGATCTAAGAATGTTGGAATGCCAATTTCAATGCTTTTACATACTGATGGAGAGCATGAGAGGCCTGGAGGTAAGACCGTGAATGTTCTTTTAATGTTTCCATTTGTGAAATCATTAAAATAAAGCTGACCAGAGGATTCAGATAAAAAGAGAAAGCATTTCTCTTGTACAGATGTACAGTCAGAACAGGGAAATAAATTTGCTGATATATTTTCTGATGAATTCTTAGGAGGGCAGTTTCTGGACCTAGGCTGCTGGTGTTAGGTCATCATTTTGTTCTCCATTTGAAACAGCTACTGCTTAAACGTGGTTAGCACTGACGGGTGAGGATAATGCCTGACAGCGTGGCCTTCAAGAGCTGGGGAGTTCATGTGATGTTTATACAAAGTCGTATAGCTGTACATGTTATCCTCATGCTTACGTAATATTAATTTCAAGTTTTTCATAAACACGCACACACATATATAAATGTATAAATATGTGACATGACTCCTGTGTTGTGCTGTGTTAGGTGGTGATTATGAGAACATCCAAATGACCAGCAAAGTAACTTTTCAGTGTGAGCTCTGTGATATTACGCATTGGCCTGGGGCATTTTTCTGCAATGTAGTTTATATCTCTCTGGAAATTGGGGATTGTAATGCAAATGTTTTTAAGTAATTCCAATTACAGTAACATGCATGTGCTGCTATAATTGTGCTGCAGAAAGAAAAGCAAATATTATTTAAATAGAATACTGTCCTTCTGCAACTTCATTTTGACCTTAGAAACTGCCAAGGTGATGTGCGTAAATGAGGTAAACAAGGATGTTTAATCCCAGGCATATTTAATAGGAGCAGAGTGAAATCTGTTATTAATATAATGAAACACTAAAAGCTTCTCACTAATCATAGAGTTGGATTTTCCATTCAGCCTCTGTGGGAAAGTTGCTATTTGAATGTTCTCTAAGTGTTTGAATTGTAATTACCATGGGTGCATAGTTCTGGTCTCATCCCCATTCCCAGGAAAATTAGCAGCACTTTTGCCATTTGCTGCAAATACTGGGTTCTGTGGGTTACTGTCAGCGCAGTTCGCTTTGTGCAACAGGGTTGTGTTGTAAACTACTTAGGTATGTTTCTCAGTTGGAAATGAGGAGACTTAGTGACCTGTGATTCTTTCAGCACTTCATACAAAACCCATAGTAGTTGCATGGAAGTTTTTTAGCTGTAGCTAAGTACTGTTTTATAGCTTTCAGCTTTTGAGTTAGTTGGATCTGTGGTTCAGTTTTGTTGATTTGTATCCTGGGTTTGTAGTTCTCACTTGACTGCCTGGTCGTGTGACTTGTTCCGGGGTGGGGGGACGAGTCCATGAGTTTGTTTGCCTATAAACAAACTTCACTGTGCTTCACAGTCATCTGCCCACCTTCTGATTCCTGACATACTACACATCATTCACTGGCAGCCCTATTTGCTGACATCATCACTGATGGTGTGTATGTCAAGAATTCTATGTAGGGACAGAAGAATATTCGTATGTTCCCTTACCGACAAGGGCACTGGAATGTAGATGTAGAAAGAGTTAACTCATTTGCTTATTCTGAAGGAATTTGTTTATTTTTAAGGTAGTTTTTCATTTTTCCAATGTACCAAGTGGTTGTATACAGTATAAAGCAGCTGACAATGAGAAAACAAAGGAACATTTGTACTTCTTTCATAATAAAATAGCAGTAAGTATGTGTTTGTCATGTACACAGTGATAAATACTTTCACAGTTGGGGTAGTCTAGTAGACTTTTTATTTGTGACCTGCAGACTGGGCTGTCCTTGCAGATCTGGTTGGTTTTCTGAAGTTGGTTTCCTTTTCTGCATCTGCTCTGAGCAACAAGAGACCAGCCTAGACAGCGTGTGGAAGGGAAGGCAGGCAAAAAGATCATTTCAGCTGTACCTCAGTGGCTGTCAGAATTTCTGGAGGTATAGTGACAAAGAAACTGAAGGCATTTGAGATAAAGCTGACATAGATGGTGAAAGAGAATGCATAAAGCTAAAATATAATGAGATCAAGGAGGTGGAGTTAAAATAAAGTTTGGAAACGTGAATATAATAAAAATAATAGCTTAATCTGAATAGTCCTTTCCACACATTTTCTCAGTGACTAATAGCAAGGCAGAATTTATGCATTACTATCAGAGACATCTGCCAGGATAGAAGATGAGAAGCTTTAGCAAGTTTCTAGATGCAGTGTGGAGTTAAAAATTACAGGTTGGTGTTGCTAATTTTATTTTTTACAAAACAAAGGCAGGCTTTCTTCTCAAGCGTGTGCTTAGGACAATTTAAACCTGTCAATATAAATGAAGTGGAAGCTTTTTTATTCTTTTTTTTTTAATGGGGGTGGTGACCAGGCAAGACCTGCAGTTAAGTGCTGAAAAAGAACTTTCTCAGGTTATCAGTCAGGGTAGGGTTTTATCAGCAGCTGGGCTGATTTGATTAAATAATATTTATTGAAGTGATGCAAGGAGTGTGTGTGATACCTATTTTTTTTCTTTTTTTTTCTTGTCAGTATTTATTATTTTACAGTTTTATGAACAAAACTGAAAAGCTGGGGTCTGTCTTAATCTATAATGTTTTGCCTGTAGAAACCATAATGTCCTGCAGGTGGCAATATCTGATCAGATCAGAAAATTACCTGACCCTATACAAAACAAATTATGTTTTGTGGAGGCAGGTCACAAGACTATTTCTGTTTTATAAACCAGTGAGTTTACTCAGCTGTATCATGCAGAACCATAATTACTAAATATCTTCCTCCTCTTTCAGCAGAAGTAGCAGTGTAAAAATAGTTGTTTATTTTCTGTTTTGGCATGATCACAAATAAATGGAAAGCCTCCCCTTTCTGAGGTGTCTGTAAGCTTCTGGACTGCTATTCTGAAGGTAGGGGCTTCTTGGTTTTTTTTCTTTTTTTTTCTTCTTTCTGTTTTGGTAGTGAGAGTAATTACTTGGCTTCAGGAGCTGACTACAAATTCATTCCTCACTAAAATGTGAAAATAGCACTGATTTTGTTTTTCCAAAGGTATGAATATTTGTAGCTTTGGATTTTACCCATTGTTTTTTCTCAGCCTCTCTGCTGAGTACAAGATAAGAGGTCAAAAGAATCTAATTATTTATATTTTTTTTTTGAATGATAATGATTTTGGACATGTCATCCTCCTTCTTTTGCTTAAAATAGGTGTCATAATATTCTTCTATTTCATGTAAGCCTTTCTCTGCAGAATCCAGAGAAAAGTCTATTTGCCTTTCATGTGTGGGATTCTCTGAAGGGCCACTGTTCCAGATTTCAGTGTGATTGATAGAGCATTAGCCAAGAAAAGTAAAGTGTGTTACCTCAAAGGATAGGCAGGGTTCTTCTGCAGGGGAGGAGTGATTTGTTATTTATGTGTTTGGCGAATGAGGTCTCCAAAGAAGGAGAACTCCAACTGTCTATACAACCTGTATGCTGCTCTCTCAAAAGAGTTCGTGTGTGGCTGACATACAAACGAATCGGCAGCTGGAGAGATGCTGCTTTAGCTTAGCAAAATGAGGAGTATCAGTGAGTACTACTTAGGTCTTATTACAATTGTTCTGTTTGTATGAGTTACTTCATGATCCCAAAGGTATTCAAGGAAGAAAGCTGAAGGAATCTTGACATGCAGGCTTTATGGACTGGCTGGGATGTTGGTATCACAAGAAGGGTTATGGCAGAGATGTTTTGAAGGCTTTTTGCTGTCTAGAGCTCGCGATGCACTTAAATTCATGGGAAATTATAGAAAGTGGGTGAGAGACTTCTAAGTTTTAGCAATTCCTCTTATTTCATGGAATTGCTTATGCATATCTGCACTCTTCTGTTCTTGTTATCTGAAAATAACATCTGCTTCTCTTTGAGAAGAGAATATACACTATAGAGACAGAAGAAGAGGATCAAATATGAGGGGAAAGAGCTGAAAAGTTGAAGCACAGACAGGTTGAAGATGAGATGCTTGATTCAGAGAGTTAATGACATGAGAGGCACGGATTAGATCAGTCACAGACCTGAGGATGCAGATGTGGTAACATCTGAGATGGCAAAACCTTCTATTTTAATGGTTAATAATGTGGCTTAGGGGTCTGTGATGAGGGGGAGGTGGAGGTGAGGGGATATAACACCTGAACACTGTGCAGTACAAATAGGAGATTTCCTCCCAACACTTTCCCTGTCAACTTTAATAGCTCTTATCTTTGCTGTTTTCTTGGGCAGTTCTTGAGGGATCACCACGCTTGCTGTTGGATGCAGTGTGAGACTTCAGTCCCTATCCCCACCAAGTTTTTTGTGTCTTACTAGGAGGGTTTATTTGTAGCTTTTTGACAAGCAGTGTAGATACCCGCAGGAGCAGGCCCCAGGTCTTTTGAGTCTGACCGAAAGGATGTGGGCTTCTATTTGTGATAACTTCAAACACTTCCTGCTCTGGGGTGAAGTAAGGGTTCAGCTGGGTTTGTTCTATTGGAAGATACAAGGCATGGTAGGACACCTGCGGAAAGCTGAGCACCTTTTTGTCCAGTCTTTTCCATTCCTATTGTTGTGCTTGAGCTACATAAAATGACATTTGAGTGTGTGGAAAAATAGCTGCACTGAGTGTATTGATTCTTTAAGTGGTTATGGTGATAAACCTCAGATCCGTCTGGTCGGAATTTTGTAAATACTGATGCTGCTGTTGGTTGTGTTCTGCATGTATGTTGAAGAGTGCCTCTCTGTGATGGAATCTGGTAGTGTTCCAGTCAAGAGAGGGATTTTACTGTCTGACCCTTTCAATTATTGGTCAGCAGGGTGTCTGAGCAAAGACCCTTGGCCCAGCAGTGTCCTTGTTGTCATGGCTACTAGGCTCATTCCCTATGCCATCAGGTCGTGCAAAGACAAAAGACTCGGTTGTCATCTCCTGTTGCTCATGTTATCAGCTATGTGAGTTCTTGAGAGAGGGAAGATCAGTAAGAAGTAGTGCCACTTCACTGAGCTTGAACTACCAGTTATTCCTTGAACACTCAAAATCTGTCAAAAACATGTGTCAAAGACTAAACTTTGACTCGAGGAAAACGCTGTTAGGAAGTTAAGTCACAGGTGCAGGGAAGACTGCAGTCTTCCTTTCTGTCTAGATAACAGAATGTCAAGGGAAGCATCGAGGGAGCTTCAGGACAGGTGAATGATGACGAACATGCTTGAGGACAAAGATCCAAACATGGTGATCTTGTACTTGAAGCTTCAGTTCGTGACAAACAACTGAGTCTAATTTGCTGTATGTAAATTGTGCTTAATAAGGTAGACACTGGCTTCCATGCAGGTTTGCTCTGGGTAATTCTACTAAGCGTAATGAAGCTGATTAAGGAATAAGTTATTCCATAGTGTATAATTGAAATCATCCTGTGTGAATTTTTAAGAATAAATGTTTTTTCATGTGTGTGAACAGCAAGTGTTTTAAGTGTTCTACCTATGCTGAAATAAACAGTGCAACCCAAGACAAATCTGATGATCATCTGTACTGTTGATAATGTTCCAAAGTCTACCAAAGTAATGCTCTACAGGCATCTTATGTGGCAGTTAATTGAAAATCTCTTACATTTCAGGTGATGCTACAGTGACCATTGCTCACAGGTACACACCAAAAGAGCAGCTCAAGATCCATACACAACTCGCTGACATTATAATAGTAGCTGCAGGTAATACTAGTTGTTGTTGATATTCCCAATCACAACGTTTAAAACCTAAAAAATGAACTTTGGTGTCTGTGTTGGTGGCACTACTAGCTATTTCACATTTCACCAAATAATTGGTGCTTGTGCTTGCTGAGGGTGTTGCAGTAAGTAGGATTTCTTGTTGTAAGAAGGGCAAGTGATGTGACTCTTTGTTCTTGCCCTTCACATTTGCAGACTCATAAACTGTTTCTCGTCACATGTGACACCTTTCCCTTAGGGAGACTTTAGAGTGAACTCAAGATTGGGAACTAGTCAGAGCATAGTTTATACAGGTATAATTATGTAAATTAAAACATTCTCTGTGCAGTGCAAAAATAATGAGTCATTTAATTTTTGACAGGAAAATTTCTTTAAATCAGCTGGAGACTGCATTCATAAAACAAATGATATCATTCCCTTGCTGTTAGGATTAAAGGCAGCCTTGCCAAATTAACTGGTAGTTTTGGTAATGTTATTAATGACGGAGTATTTATTTTTTCTTTTATTGTTATCATGTAAAGACGAAGAGAATGGTAATTGCCTAGAGGAAGGGATCTGAAAGATCCGGGTCTATTTTCATGTATGTCAATGCAGAGTGAAATGCTTGCCATTTAAACTAGTCTAGAACAAAGAAACAAGCAGAACTCTGCTTCTTAGAAACCTGTTTTTTGTTTACGAGTATTACAAATAGAAATATGAAAAAAAAGAAAAAATTAATTTACTAAAAATCTTGGTTAAATTCTGTGTCCCCTTGCAGCTCAAGATATCTTCCTCCTCTTGTACCATTTTGGAGGACTGCAAGAGGATTGTGTCTTTCCTCTTTTTTTCCCCCCTTCCCCCCTTTCAACATCCTCAACACCAAAGTCTTACATACTTATTTTCTACATGATGACGGACAGGTACCTGTCTAAAGCTCATCACTTCCTGTTTAAGTGAGAGGTCCTTTGCTTCAGGGCTTAACTATCTCTTTCTCATGCCAAGTCAGGGAGAAGAAACAGCTCAGTTGTCTCACATGTGATTACTCAACTGTGGGCCTGACCCGAATTCAGACACTGTGAATGCAAAATGAAGATATGTGTCCTCATTGGAAATAAACTACTAACTTTTCATCCAAACTCACTGCTTCCAGTTTAATCATCACTTCTGATTTTTCAGGCTGAACATAGTTTGTCATCAGTTATGCTTTGTAGTTAAATGGTTCAGTAGCACTTCAGCTCTGTTTTGTTACTCACATTTTTTTCCTTGTGTCACTCTTAACAGGAGCATGATACAACATTCATTACACAACACGAGATATACTTGGATTGGTGAGAGAACTTAGGGCTAGATTATGCAAACAGTATGCAGCCCTGGCCTGGTGGACGCTCTGGGGAAGATTACACTTTAGAAAGGTGGCATCCCTCAAAGGTTCCCCTTGGCACAGGGGCACAGTTCTCAAGTAACTTTGGGATCATGCATTCCCTTGAAATGTATGACCTGTTCAGTGAGTGTTGCAAAAACCGTAACTTCTATCCTGCCAAGCAGAAACAGCTGCTGTCTTAGGCCACTGTGCAAAATGTGCAAATGGAAAACAGCTTTTTGTGTGTGTCTGTATATAAGAGCAAGATTCCTGTTCTCGTTCCCTTCTTGGCATGTATGACATTCAGAAAGGTTTCTGGCTCCCGGTTTGGTGACTTGTTGCAGTGAGTCTGTTCGTTCTGAGTGGTACCTTATCTCTGAGGAGCTTTCTGTTCACTTGCATTCATGCCTGCTAACGCTTCAAATCAGGTGCTTCTGTTTTCTCTCTGGAGTTGAGCATACTTGTCTTCATATGTTGTCTTTTGTTTGCTTGCAGCCTTGTGACCCCAGTTCTCCTGCTCATTTTGATTGTAACTGTCCCTGCAGTTTGTTCCTTCCCTCATCTTTGACAGCTATCCCTGCCTATACAGACATCCCATGGAGTCTGTTCTTTTTGCCATCGGCCCAGACCTGTAGTGAAGATTAAGATTAAATTCAGTGTAACCTGTGTAGCCACCACGGTTCTTCCAGGGCAGTGGTGGAGGCAGTAGGCAGTCTCTGTCTGGTCATCCTACTACTTCTGCGTCTTGACTTTCCAATCTGCCTTGAGAGAGAAGACTCACCTGCCTGCTAGGTTTGGAGAGGGAGGAAAGAGGGTGCCAAATGCCAGATGAGATTCTGCTGGGACTACTTGTGCTGTTCCTTGGGACATGATCTGTGGTCTTCCCATATAGGAATTGTTGATTCGTCAGTCACTTTTATTTAGATAGTGGCTGGTTAGTTTTCTCAGGAGTTGGCTATTTTACAGTCCTTGTACCTAAACTGGGATTAAGTAGGGCTTTGTTTCTCTTCTGTTTAAAATGTGATTAATAATTTTCTACAAAAGTTACCAATGAGAGATTTTCCCACATTCTTCAGGGCATTTTAGGAATAGCTGCTCTTACGCTTATCTCTTCCTACATGGTATGTTAAGTAGGCTTAAGTAAATAGATCTGCTCATTTGGTTTGGGGGTTAGTTTATTTGTTGCTATTAAGTATTTGGCCTGTTATCAAACCATTTTACAAAGGGTGTAACTGTGCAGCTTCCGTTAATATGATTCTATCCCTATCACACAGAGATCATATACCCCCATAAGGCTGAGGCATTATCCAATTGCCAGCCAGCTTGCAGCTGATTGCCTAAGAGTGTGATGAAGTAGACAGTCAGATGTTATCAAATGGTATAGGAAAGAATTTGAGGTCTTGGCTTGCTCAATATTAGAAGCAGAGTTTCAAGCTTGGGTCCTATGAGGGAGTGATAAATGGAGAGTAAAGAAGGTTCTTATTGCCTGTATCTAAATGACTAACTGGCTGTGATCCAGCACTTCAAACGAAGCCAAAGCTCTTGTGTAGCAGCACTTGCCTCCAATCAAACTACAGTCTCAAACCGTATGGATTTGCTTGGTTTTCCTTTTTATTTTCTCCACCTGAGAGAAAGCTTTGGTGGGAAGAGGGGAGCTTAGACTCCCTCTGTGGAGTTACTCTGTTACTATGATGAACGTTCTTCACAGAACATACAACTGATGGAATTGCTCAAGAGCAAGGTGGATTGCAGTTTTAAAGTTGGAATTTACCGTCACTCAAAGTTGGAGGTTGTATGGTAGGAAAGAAATTTAGGAGATCATTTTATGTGAATACAGAGAAAGGATTGCCACTGATGCAATTAAGGTGTGATAGGCTAATGCAGATGCTGTGTAAGGACTTGATATTCTTGGCTTCTGATAGCATGCAGTGACTTTGGTCTCAGGTACTGCTTTGCCTTAGCATTCCAGGACATGCTTCATTTGTTGTGAGTGTCAGATGTAAACTTAGAGATACCTGGTCACACACGATGCTGTTTGTAAAGCAGTGCTAGTACACTTGTTCTAAGATAGCCTTTCCTGTAATTAAAATTGCTCTCCGCAAAGGGCGATCCTTCTGTCCTCCTGTTCTTGAAAAGGAGGTCTTCCTCTGCATCAGGCAGAGCTGTTAGCATGCCATACAAGTCTGACTCTGGCTTCAGCACGTTGGGGAAGCTAGATGAGCTTGATCTCCTCAACTTAAATACGTGGTGCTACCTGCAGCTTGCAATCCCATGCAGCAGTGACCTTAACAAAGCAGACGACGTTTACTGTCCAGAACTACTGCCTTACAAAATGGTGTTTGCCACCCCCTTTGGTAGGACGCAGGTCAGATTTTGTGTGTAATTCAGTTTTCATTTTTGTACTTAAGTACGAAATTGTTACAATTTTTAAGTACAAATGTTTCAATACCTAAGTAACTGTTTTCATGTCTCTTGCTATGTATACAGGTAGCTTAGCTGTGCTGGCTGCAAACATAGGGCCACTGGCTCAGCTCTGCATCTGTGCCTTGAAGTGACCTTTTAGGTTTTCTGGGTCCTGACTGTTGAACATCTTTGTGATTAATATCCAGATATTTTACATTTAAATGTGCTGAAGAAAAATGGTGCATATGACATAGCTGAGGTGGCTTGCTGCAGCACTCTTGTTGTACCTGGAGTTTCTTAATAGCAAAAATATTGTACACCAGGACACCACACAGATGTAGGCTGCTGAGAGCGGATGGTTTGGAGTGCTGAGTTCCTCTTCTTGTGCCAAGTTTCTGATATCCTTGAAGGCTGCCATGACACATAAAAGGCTAATTCTTTGCCAGGTTTCCTCAATCCTCATTGCTTTTGGTGTTTTAGAGGTGTGACCAGACAGATCAGCAAAGTCTAGCACCCCCAGTGAGAATAATGTTTCTCAGCTGATGTCTTATGTTGCACAGATTCTATTTGTCTCTTGCAGTAGCATGATTGTGTCTGTGTTCAGTTGATCTAATCCCAAATTCTTTTTCTGAAAAATTACTGCCTAACCATCTGTTTGCTGTCTTGCCTTTGTTGAGGGGTAATTATTTCAACGTGAATGTGGTCTATACCTTCCTCCCTGTTGAACGTCAAGTGGTATTTGATGCTTTACTCCTTTTTTCAAGTGGCACTTCTGTTTGAAGTTCTTCCCAGCTTTGTGTCATCTGCACTTTGTGCCGCTACTAAATAGTAAGTTTTCTCTACCATTGTGCTGGTGACATTGTATGGCACCTGGCCCTTCTGGTACTCCCTCTGCACACGCTTTCATTTGCATGAAGTACCGTTGGAGCCTCTTACCTGGCTACAATTACCCAACTGGTTTTCCATCCAGTATGTTTTTCTTCCTTACTTATGAGATGATCAGGTGGAGAAAGTTTTACTTGAAAGGCAGTTGCTTCTCTCCTACAGACTGAGCTGATACTGTTTATTATGGGTAGATCTGAGCTGGCCATTTTATTTTTTTTTTTTTTCTTGTTGTCTGTCTGTTGCTTATAAAAGACAGGAATCAAAAATAAGATGGCAGGATTGATCAGATTCCTCTTGCCATACTAGCCTGTTTTTTGTAGCAGTGGTATTTCATATAGTTCATGTTCATTATTTAAGAAACTGCTTGAAATGTACAGCTAACAAATAAAGTATATGAGAAATCGGATAAATTGAGTAACACAAATCCAGTGCAGATATTAAAAAAGCAAAGATCAAAGGAAATGCTGTGGAGGTGGTTTGCCTCAGCAGTTGACAGCACTTCTGGATCAGCAGATCTCTGACAATACTAACTTTCTTGCGGCTCGCAGAGCATCTTTATTATCCAGCTTTTCTTTGGAAATCTGTGAACTGCTACAAACCAGCAAGTACTTCCTTCATTGAGATCATGTTGATTGTTTGTGACTGCAGGTTTAGCTGAAAATATGTAGTCAAAATGAGCGAAGATTACATTTTCACATAATTACAAACTACCTGAAACCGAGGAATAACTGTTTCCTGTGTGTGATGTATAGACAAAAATTCAAGTGAAAGAATCGCCTTCTTTTTTTGTGCTTACGTACACGTGCATGCACACACTTCGGTATAATTTGAAACTGATGACTTAAGACTACCTGGCCATGTTCATCAAAGATATCTTGATGATTCCAGGTATCCCAAAGTTGATTACAACTGATATGGTCAAGGAAGGTGCAGCTGTGATTGACGTTGGCATCAACCATATCCACGATGCTCTTACAGGAAAGACCAAATTAGTTGGGGATGTGGACTTTGAAGGTCAGTGAAACGCTCTTTATACAAACTTGTTGGATAAGTATGTTGAAGTTATTGAGATTCATTCATGATAAATACTTGGCATTATCTAGTGTCTCAAACGAGAAGACACTTGCAGGTTATCTTTCTAATTTATTTACCTAAATAAGAAAACAAACTCTATTTTCATATGTGTTCTTAAGAAATGGTATGTTATTTAAGAGAGGAAGTGTTACTTTTAATTACACATACCAGCAACCTTGAAGAGATGCAGATGAGCCCTGATGGCAGTGTGGTGGCAGAAGGTGCTTGTCTCCACGTTTCTTTAAGCCTTTGTCAGTCTGAAGTGTTCCAGGATTAAGCAGTAAAAACAGTTTCTGCTATTTCATGAGGATAGGGTCTGCCACTGTTGATAGCAAATATTATAGCACCCTTCTAAATCCTCCTTTTTTACTCTTGCTCTACACTTACATGTGAGAATCGTAACTTCTGCTTTAGAAGTATCCTTTATGCCAAGGTTTAATGCGGGTTCATCTGTTAAAAGTCTTGGTCCAGGCAAGCCTAGCAGATAAAAATTGGTGTTACATATTGATCTTTTTATGTTTAATGTGTTGCAGAGCAAGTTCACAATGTAACTTGATTAAATATCTCTGCTCTGGAGGAGCTCCAGACTGGAATAGCAGGATTGTTGCAGTTGAAAATTAAAGCTTATTGGCAGAGTTGAGTGTGGGAAGCTTAGACAGCATTTACCCACATTATTAATGGGTCTCAACAGTTCCTTATTTTGATAAGTATGAAAATCACCCACAGGTTTTTTTCACGGTTATTAGCATCTTGGCTGGCATAATGTCTCAAAGCTTAATTATATTCACAATGTTTCTAGCCAGCTGTATGTGTTTGTAATTACATCACTCCCTTAGTTCCTGCTGCTTTTACTCATCCTACATGATATCTGTCTGTTAAAGTTAGTGCAATTACCTGCACGAGCGTAGCTCAGCGGTTGTCTCGGCATGCGTTTGGAAATGTATAGCTGCATGTGTACAGTAGAGCTCCAGGAGAAAACTACTTTGAGTGCAACTTCAAACTTTTTTGGTTTGTTGTCCTGCTTGTACTGTGACAAATAAAAGGTTATATTTTCTATTTTCAGAACTAAACTAAAGTACAGAGAATTTTCGGGATTTTTTTGTTTGCTTTAGCAGGTATGGGAGGAAAAATCTGTAACTTTGAGAAACATGAAATTGTATCCTTTTTGTTTGTTTGTTTTAAAATGTGAGCCTTCTGAATGTAATATAGGTGTAGATTCAATGGCGAGGCCGTGATTCAGAGTTTCAGCAGTGCACTGTATATGTCTCGTCATGTCTGCTGTGGGTTGTTCTCAGGATTTTACCTGGGGGGAGGGAAGATCCAAAAAAGGGAGGAACTTCAACTTGGATTATGCCACTACAGTTGCAAGTAGCATTTCACTGTGTATTGCCAAAGGGAAATTGTTGTTGGTTCATTGGTATCGGTGAAAGTTTCACTAAATCTCTGAGCAACAACAACAAAAAAAACCCTGTTGTATTCAGGTCTAAATACTAAAAGGTAAATCACCCTTGCCAAGTGTTTGATCTGGCAGTTAGGAAGTGGAACAAGCTAGTGTATTCATGTAGCATATCATCGTATCCTTTTGCTCCATTTGATCACTTGATTGAATTTATATTTGAGCTCAGGTGGAAATGATTTTGCAGTTTAAGGCCAAGTACATAAATGGCTGGCATGACATAGAGCACCTGTGGTAACATCATATAGTCCACCAATATGTATTGTCTCATCACCCACTTTTTAAAGTAGAAAAACGTGGCCATGGGGGGAGCAGAAATTTTACTGAGCAATCAAGGGTTAAATTTGATTTATAAGAAATAGATGGAAAAGGCTTACTTCACCACATCATCTGACTGAAGTGGAAATTAAGTTTATTAGCTGGGTGGAAACTGTTTTGATTCAGTTGTCATGTCCTAGCAATGCTTGGATGCCATCCTCTAATCTCTAGGGGATAGGTTTAACACTAAAGTTTATTTTTGTCTCTTTAACAACAAAAGGATGCCATTTCCATTTTCTTTTCTTTCATCTTGTTCATTATTAAGTTCCATCTAAGAAACGCCTGAAGGAAAAATTTTCTACCACAAGCCAAGAGAATTTGATAGCGGCTCAAAAAATGAGTTTTGAAGTCTGTTCTAAAATCTGTGTTTGTTTGAGTCATGTCTGCTGCTGTAAGCACAGTTGCATGCGGTCACTCGCAGCCCTTGACACCGTTTCCCAGGGTGAGCTGAGGGCTGACCGCTGGCATATGCTGGTGTATGTGCGTGCACACTCAGTCCAAGGAACGCGCTTTGGCTGTCCTTCAGACTCCGGCAGATGAGGAGGAGCAACAAGGTGGTTCAGTTTACGTACAGAAGTTTAACAGCATCAGGCTTGTGCATATCACCATCATGGCTGCTGTAATGGTTGGCTTGGGTAGTGATAGCATCCAGGAACCTCTGTGCTTGTTGGGTCTAACCGTTCATTTTGGGCAAATATCCTGGGCTGTATTATGGAATGTCTTTAAATGGTATGTGTGATTTGCCCCATGTCCTCTGATCCTCTGAACTGTATCCAAATGAAGAAAGGCATTTTTTTGGTCCATAACAGCTTAGTGTGCGGGTCCAAGGTGTCTGAAAGATCAAGAAAGGGAAACACTGTGCACGTGGGGGTCAGCTGCCAAGCATGGAGGTACCTAGCCTGGTATTACTAGGGTATCTCAAACTGCATGTGCATCTCTCCATATATAAGTAGCACAGCACATTCGGTTTATGTTAAGAATTTGCTGAAGTTTATGGTCCAGAGAAGGGGCATTAGGTAGCTTTTGGGAGTCACAAGAGGAAGGGTGAAGTGACAGGGGGGAGGGGGAATGGTGGCATCCTTAGATTATTGCCAACGTTGGTTTATTTACTTTAGGGCAGCAAGTTTCAATCACCAAAAAGGAGACCTGTTTCTCTGAATGGGGTAAGGCGTGTGTGGGTGTACTTGGCCCTGTTTTATAGGGCTTTTGTTGCCACAGCAATAATTCAAGGGGGAGGAGGGCTGCAAGGACCAGGAACATGAAATAAAGCAGCAACTTTCCACAGAGCATTTAACTGGAATGGCTTTTTTGGGTGGAGCACTATTTCCAGGAGTGACTGGTAGAGCAGGATAGTAACACGCCGGTGTAGTAGGCAACCTTTGAAACTGGAACTGGAAATGCTCACAAAACCAAAGTTTACAGAACTCAAGTGGGATTTGCTTTAAGTGCTGTCTGTATTTCTTTGTGATTTCTCCCATAACTTTGACAAGCAGGTGGTAATGCTGTTTTCTGAATCTCCATTGGATGCCTATATAGAAAAGAAATCCTTTATGCAAGACCTTTGTAGGTGATGTGGTTGTGGTATCAGTGGAGGGGTTTATAAATGAGAGTTGCTCTCCCGACGTCTGTTTTGCACAGCTTAGGCAGTGTAAATGAGATTCTAGAAAATGGGTGCCACCGGCTGGGAGGGGAAAAGAATGCCTCAACAAATGATGGTGTGGTGAAGGGTGATGGGCATATATTAAGAATTTCCTTCGAATGAGGGACAATTGTACATGGTGAATGCAGGGAAACCAGGCAAATGGTATGTTGAATACTACGGAGGTGGAGAATGGACCAGATTCACACTGTGCTTCTGGTTAGACCAAGTGTACCAAAAAGAAAGAATCAGTTGGATGAAAATCAGGTAAATGAATACTGTCCTCATCAGCTACAGGACTAATTGACTATAAAGTTATTGGAGAAGTTTCAAGAAACTTGTCCACTTGCCCAAGTAGTTTGAGATTTACCACAATAATCTTGGAATCCAATGTCTCGATTGAATTTCTTGATACTCCACTAATGCAAGAAATAAGTGAGAGCGGTGGCATTAGGCTCTGACTGCTAACTGGTGGCAGCAAGCTGCTGGATAGCCAGGTCTAGGTCTTCCTCCTTGTCGTGCAAGGGTGTAAGTAAGTGATCTTTGATACCTTGCTTTTCTGCTGCTTATTATCCCAAGGCTACAGCAATATCCCATCCATCTGTCTGTGCTAATTAGCTGAATACAAAGAAGCTGTTGTGCGTAATTCTGTGCTGGATTTTTGTGCCCAAGATGCCACTGTTGCTTGGATTTCAGAGGTACTGGAGGAGGGAAGGTGTTTGCATTACTAGAATTACAGTACTGGACCATAATTCCTTGTGTTTCTTTTACATTGCTATTAAAATAGCTGCAGTAAGAAAAACAGAGATAACATCTGAAAGAAGGAGCTAAGAGAAATGAGGTAGATGCTTGCTGGTTGATATCCCAGCGGTGCTCAGTGAGAGTGAGAAGAATCCCAGAATGTAGAGCAGAACATGGGATATCTACTGCGATTGCTGAGCACGTGATTCACACTTATGCAGAGCTGCTGGGATCCAGAGTAGTTTTACAGGGACTAATAAAGCTGTGTGGAAACAGTGCTTAGGCAGGAATTACTCTGCATCACTTAATGCAGATGCACAAGACCCAGAACTCCTTTCAGGTTCAGACTTGCCCTTGGTTTGTGTGATTAACCCTATTAGGTGTCTGATGTCCTTAGCTTTAAAGGAACCTAGGAATGAAGGGCTGTTTCCAAAGCAGTGGATCCTGTTTTTCAAGGAAACAATCTACATTTCATTTCTTCTAAAGAATCAAAGGAAGATTTTAAGGTTCTACAGAAGCTGCAGAATAGCAGCTCCTCCTCCATAGGCACCTAATTTGCATTCCAACATTTTCCAGATTGGCAGAGGAATGCCTGGGAGAACAGCATGCATCTCAAAAGGAGAGTTAAAGCTAGGCACGAAGTGATGGTGTTGCTGAGAAGCAGAAACACCACCTTCTGAAGGAACCCACAGTGCAGCACCTTACTTGCTGACCTGAGGGCGGTGACACTGAAGTGCTGCCTTGGAGCTGCTTTGGCCTCGCTCATGAGGAAAGGACAATCTATTTACATTTTTGAGGGCCAAGTTATTTTTCCCCCTTCGGTTGCTGTCATTCATCTTGGAAAATTGCATTCACCATATCTGTATTTACTCTTACAGATGGAAACTTATCAGATGGTAGTTTCCCCAACATAGACACCTGCTGCGTGTTTTAAAAATCTCCATCAGCTTTTGTGAATAAGCTTTCCGGGTGGTTTTATGCTGATACAAAGTATGTCTTCTGCCACACTGACCCACAGGGATTTCCATAATGATAGAGTATGGGTGGAGAAATTCCCCAGCGACTTGTGAAAACAGTGTACTGTGTGTTTACTGCTGAGTACGGTTACTAACACTGGAGGCAATGAATGTTGTACATGATATTCATTAGAAGGCTTTCTTTAAGGCATGGTCTGATTGTGGATTGTACCTCTTTGTAAGTCAGATAGGAGTTGTTTGACTAATACCACAAAAAGAGGTATGTAACATTGCCATGGAAACAAACATTTCAATTTAAAATGCCTAAAATATTTTCTGTGTTAATTACCATGTTCACTTTAGATGTGGGTACATGTCAGTAATTATGTCGTTAATCTGGGAATTCGTAGTAACTCTGTTAACCATAAACACCCATCTCAAATGGTAGGTAGTTGAAAACAGTATAACTATTAAAAGGACAAATTATTTGGGTTTGAGAATACTAAGAATAAGTGTGATATGAAATATTAATTAGGTACAATTTACATTTTAAAAAAAAGAAAAAAAGCCTTGCAATTTGTTTGCCTTTCCAAATATTTTAACAGTATGTTTGATGGTACCAGTCAACTGAGGAAGTTGTAATTGCCATCTGTTCTCAACGGGGCTTAATCTTCTGTTCTTCAGTTGAGTGAGATACTTGCTGTTAACTTCTGCAAATGCGCTTTATTAGGTCCCTGCTTTGGGGTGTTCAGACTTTGGATTTTTTATTTGATGTACACCCTGCCACCCCCTAAAAATCTAACGAATGTTCTGTCCCAAACACCCAACATCCGGCTTTTCACATTTGCTTTTGGTATTTGTTTTTGTGAGACCTTGTTATTCTCAACGGTAAAGCACCACGTACATTCAAGATGAATGCACTTAAAGCAGAGGCAAGTTGTCTTGTTTGTTCCAAAGTCAAGGTGCCTAGTTTTCCATGCGTGGCTCTTTTCTCATAGCCGGGTATAGATTCTGCTCTGTGGTGACTTCAGTGAAAATGTATGTGCTTGTGTTGGAGTTGTGCTTGCTCAGTTTTCTCTGTGTACGTGTGTGCGCCTTCTTAAAAACAATGCTTGTAAAAGTGGGGGTTGAGTTTCCAAGAAATTATTTCTATGCAAGCAAAAAAACCCCAAACTAACAAACAAAAACCCTCTCATGGTGGCACTTGAGGGAAAAAAACCTCTGTAGTAATCAGGTTAGTAATATGCCATTTGGCCTAACCATTATTAGCAAATAACTGCTCATTAGTTTGTTATGCGATGTATTCCCAGCCAGTTGCATATAATTCCTTTGCAAGTAACCTGCAATTCCAGTTGATTGCAATCTGCACGTTAGATAAGAATATCAACTCAGTTTATTGGTACGTTATATTAATTCCTCATGCAAAGAGGTGAACTTGAGAGGTGCTAACTTAAATGCTTAAAAAAATTAATCTGTATGTATTTACCTCTTAGCAAATGCCTTGAATGCTTGTGTTAACTTTGGGTCGTCTGACCCTGTTCGTGGTTGGAGCTAATTCAGCTGTAAGAGTTTCCTTTTCTCCTGAGACTTTGGGGACATCTGTGCCCCCGGATGCCTAGTTCATTGTAGGCACCGTGGTAACACAGCTTAAAAAAAGTCGTTTTCCCTGGAGGAGCTGAGTATTTACGGCTGAAGTTGCAATGAGAATTTTGCCACTAGAATCCATTTTTCCTTGATTACAACTCTCATTTTTGTTCTTTGTCCATTTTGTGAGGCAGAAAATCAAATTGCTAAGGACACTGTACTTTCTCCTGAGGTTTTAAGTTCACTTTTGAAATAGTAGAATGTCTTTGTTAGAAGGTACAAGCCAGAGTGGGGGAAAGAGGCTGAATAGGTGGCTTTGCTGCTGGTTCTCTGCTGTTGATTTTGCTGTTTAGCGCAGACTCTTGCTCTGCATGCTGCTCCTCAGGAACATGGAGGTTTTGGGGATCATCTTTTTACCTACAGAATGAGATCCCCACCTTCTGTAGCTCTCCTGGATGTTGAAGGTACAGTATGACAGTTGGCAGGAGGGGGTGATGTGAGTCTGCGCTGCCCATCTGGGGCTGTCCTGCCCTTGTGTCACCCAGACATTCCTGGGCCAGCTGGTCAGCCAGGTCAAACAGTCAAAAACTGCCCTTCACCAAATATTTGGTGGGATTAGCTTTCCATGTGCCTGACCACAGGCTGCATGAGTGTGTATTGCTTCCATGAGGAAAGGGCAGCCTGCTGCAGGTAGATCAGCTCGAACAGGTTGTGGAACCGTGCCGCAGAACGAGCCCCTGGGTAATAATATTCAGATGAAGAAAACTGCCTTGCAGCCCCAGTCCTGGCTGTATCCTGTCACTACCATGGCTGTAGTAAGACTTCTGCCTTAACTTTTCCCCTGTTCTCTAGTACTTGCCAAGTCGCAGTCCCTTACGCTTGTTGCCAGTTAGCTGTATGTGGGCAACTGAAGGGGAAGAAAGATTTTTGGTAACATTCTTAGTCAATACCTTTTTCTCTTTTCTCTAGAAGTAAAGAAGAAGGCTGGCTTTATCACTCCAGTGCCAGGAGGGGTAGGACCTATGACTGTTGCAATGCTTCTGAAGAACACACTCATAGTTGCTAAAAAGCTCATTTATTAGAGCAAGCGGGCTACCTTGGACGAAGAATCCAAGTTGTTCTATTTATTGATAGACAAAACATTTATTTTTTACTACTAAGATATTTATTTCTACATCATATTTATTTTTTCATGTAAAGTACACTAAACCTGATGGTTTACAAAATGTTGAAGTACTTTGTGTTACCTCCTACTGACTTACTGTGAGCAAAAATGGAGAATGCAGCCTATGCAGATACATTGGTGGTCAATTGTGTGTGTGTGAAGATGAAGAACAAAGCATGAGTTACAAATATCCCTGTGTATCTGGGGATGGACTACAATTACCAACATCTTTTAAGCGCTTAGGACCCTCAGTTCTGATCAAACAGTATAAACTGAAGTTTCAACATGCTGGATATCTTTTAAAAATAAGGTTTGGCTCCTGATGTCATGAAGCACTCTGGGTGTAGTTTCAAGTCTTGAAATATTTTTTTCAAACACTTAAGAGCAGCAGAAATCTTGAATCTGAAAGGAGGGAAAGACTGAAGTTTTTGTTTCAGCTGCCAGGCAGTAATGTTGACATGAATGCGAGTGTTCAGTACATGCTTTAGAAGAGTCAAGTCAACTTGAAGGCTGGTGAAAATCGACCTTGCAAGAGCTATGCATGAATCAACAGCTAGAATTGAGGGCAGAATTACTTTGTTTCCGTGTCTGGATTTGTTTGGCAAAATGTTATGGTGCATAATATCCTCATTTCACAAAAAACTGAATAGATGACTGGGCTGGATCGGACTTCAATTAGGTAGAATGTAGTTAAAGCTGCTATGTATGGACATTATGTGTAATGAGGTGGTGGGTGGGAGGTGGAGGAAGAGGAAGAGAACAGCAAATGTTTCTCCCTGATGAAATATTTGTGTTGAAATTTTAAGCCATTTAATAATTCTCCTCTTAAACTGCATGGAGGGGTTTTTTTTAAGTCCATGATATAAGGCTCAGCCCTCTGAATTCTTGGCTACAATGTTTGGATGCTTAAAGGCAATTGTGTGGGGTAGTAAGTTCAGCATGTTTCTGTTCACAAAGATTTTAGTTCTAAGAAGGATCTAGAATAGTCTCATGCAATGTAAAAGTTGGAGTGGAGTTACTGCTGAGATGCCAATTGAACTGAGTGTGTGCACTGTTGACATGAAGAGCCTACTCCAAATCCCACTGGAAGTCAATGGGAACCAGTTTGGACTTTTATCTTTGTGTTTTTATCTTAGTTGGGATAACTTTGATTTGCCTTCATCAAGGGCCTTAGGTGTTTGCCAGTAGACTATAGATAACTTGAAAGGGGAAGAAAAAAAGTTGTGGCTAAATACTACTGCCATTAAACAAAAAAATATGTGTTTACTGTAATAAAAAAACAAGATGGAGCATCACTTCCGTTCTGTTGTTCCTGTGATGGACTTTCTCGGAGTTGTGTTGAAGGCAGTGTTTAGAAAAGAGGTTGACAGAATCATAACTGAATATGTAGTGCCAGTAGTGCAGACACTTGCTTATCTTATCTGTTTGAACTGAAGTGGTAGTACAAACGTTAGGGGGCTCAACGTGCCTATGGAGATAACACTTAGACTGATCAACCCATCACTGACTAAAATGGAATAAAACTTGTTCACTGTTACGTTAGTCTTGGTGAAAAAATTTAATACAGTTTTGTGGGTGGTCGTGGGGTTTTTTAATCTGTGTCGAGTGAGGAGAATGGAGATCTTTCACATATTCAGTCATTACTTTTTTTTATCTGTTTACATTGCTCTTACAGATTCGTGTTTTTCTTCAACTGTAATCTCTCAAATTTTTTTCAGCAGAAAACTGATTTATGTCATTTTGCTTGTCGCTTGAGTGAGTCTGCCTCTCTCATGTCCTACAAACAGTTTATTGTGCATCTTAAGCATTTTCACATGTGGTGGGTGGGTTAGTGTCACACACAAGGCAGTGAGACCGAGGTTTCACTCAGCAGCATGTTATTTTCAGAGCTGCCAGACCCATCTGTGAGAGTATTCCTCACTGGGACAACATCCAGGAGGAGCGTCCAGAGGGAGGGGCCTGTTCACCAATCCAAAAAGCATGCTCCTGTGCCAGACCTGGTCAAGTCTGGTCCAAGCATAAACACCCTGTGGCGGGCAGAGGCACGGCCGTACCCACTGAAGCCTTCTCGCATGCCTACCGCGCCCTACAGCTCTGTTGCCTAATGACGAAGCCACCTCTGGGATTCACGCTGGATTAAGCTCCCATTGTGTAGCTGTGTGTTGAAAGCAAGGCTCATGAGACTTAGCCCTGCTTGGGACTGATAGCAGAGGTTATCCAGGTAGGCATAAACACTACTGTCGATCCAGGGAGTGCGCAAGCTGCACTCGATCAGTGTGCAGGCATGTGGCAATTCAGGATAGCGAAGGAAGGAAAAGCCTCCTGGAATGCAGCTGCTGAGCAGGAGAACGCATAATTAAAATGTGCATAACTAGCTTGTGTTTTTCCCTTAACATGTGAAGTGGTTAGATTTAATCCTACGAATCACGGAGGAGAGCGAAGCATAGAGGGCAAAGTCGAGCTGACCGGAGTTGTTAGAGCATTTACCAGAAGATTTTTGGTTTTAAAATATAAAAATTGTGAAATGTTTTTGTTGCTTGGAGCTCACAGTTGAGAAAGCGAAAGTTGTTGCAGGGGTGAAGCGCGTAGCTCTTTGAGAGTCAGGTGGTTGATGTGTGCGTACATTATTGAACTGGGCCTCTCCGATGTACTAGGGCAGATCATCTGGCTACGTAAGTGGCCTTCAGAGAGACCAGTCCTACTTGTTCCACACTGCCTGTGACCAAGGAAGCTGGGCAGCGTTTGGGGCTGTGGAGAGTGGTTTAGTATATGAAATGTGTACGACACGTATGTCTTAGGAACCTACAAGCACCTTATGTACAAACTATGATTGTTCCCATTATGCACACCCACTTCTGTGGAGAGGCAGACATGGGCTTTTATGGGAGTATAGTGGCAGGAGTAATGAAGGAATTGCCTAATATAGGAGGCAGCAGCTTCCCTGCCCTTTCAGTCTGCCTTTTCTTGGTGCCTGTGCTTTGCCAGATGTTGACTTCTGCCCCGCACAACCATGCATAGCTCCAGCCAGCAATCCCAGGCCTCGCGCAGGGCTGGTGGCCTGCCTTGCTTCAGTGTTACACACGTGGGAAGGGTGAATGAGAAGTGATTAGCATGCCCCTCCACCTTGAGAAGTGATTAGCATGCCCCTCCGCCTTGCCAATGTACTGTAGCCTGTGATCAAAGGCCTCTTGCTGGCAGTCGCAGATGGAGAACATCATCCGTTATCTTTGTGTCTGATCACTTCCTACTCTCGGCACTAGCTGTTCTCGCAGTTGTTCTTCTGGATGGGAGAGAACTGTGGTACAAGGAGGACCAAGGAAGGAACAGGAGGAAAGCAGGAGCTGGTCCTTGGACCCTGAACTCAGAGTAGCATCCTGAACGCTGACTGTCCTCCTGGAAGCAACACAAGACCTACATTGCAAAGGGAAAGAAAGGTCACGTTTTTCACAATACGTCGCTTTTCATTTTGCTCACCTCTGTTTTGCTGTATTTTGTTGATCTGCTCTGGCAGATACCGGGTCTCTCTTTAAAACTGTATCTTTGCATGCACAATTATGCCCACAGGTAATAGGAAACCAGGGTTTCAAAAGAAAACCTGATCCCATTGCTAGATAATAGCAGTTTCCTAAATAAATGTGTGGTTGCCTCGGGGGTTGAGGTGGTTGCCAGATGCACCTTTTTTTGATTGGTGAGAACAGCAGGTGACGCTTCGTGGCATATAAGTGCAAGAGGAAACACGGGAGCGCAGATAAGCAGAGCAAGCAGCAAAGCAAGAGAGCCACCTGGAAAGAAGAGTTGAGAAGGTGTTAAAGCAGCTGTTTGCCATGGCATTTGGAATGCTAATCTATATTTTACTGAAAGGTAGGTTTGGAGGAGGCTTTTCAGTGTTGTAAGATTCAAGCCTTTGTTGAACTATAGCTGGCTCTCTGAAATAAGTGGTAGGGGTGAGAAGCATGCAGAGACATTGCAAAGCAGAATTACTTTAGCAGTTGTAAACCTGAATGAAATTTTAACTAATAGGGCATAATTTGGACTCTTTGAAAAGAAGCTACTTGGTGTAGCTACTTAGTGCAAATAAGTGTATCATTGTAGTATATTACAGGTATCTGTGTTGTAAATTGCATAAGATAATAGAAGGGAGATGTATTTTGGAAATTTGCAAACAATAGTTTGTTTCGCTACAATCCTAATTAGGCTGTGGCGAAAGGAAGTTTGAGTCAAGAATGTTTTAAATGAACTGTTATTATATTGCTGCATGGTGTCAGAATTGTACTAGCTGGGTACATTTTTCCTGGATGAAATGAACCTTGAATAGATATACTGAGTTTTTCTGTTACAGTAAGCATCTATTTGCATTACACAGCAATGGGAGCACTGAGTGAAGAGTCAACTGTTACTGTTTCATCCCTCAGCACAGGCTTATGGAATAATTGGACAAAAAACAGTGCTGAAGGTATTTCTTTTTTCTGCTTGTCTCTATTAATCTGTCGCTTAAAAAAAAAACTATTATGATTGTAGCTGCTATAATGTTCCTGTCACTTGGACACTGTTGAACTTTGTGTGTGTTTTATTTGAGATGAGCTGCTTTCTTCATGGAGCCTTAAAAACTTCTCTGAAGTAATAGCTGCCACTCAGCTGGGGTAGGCTCAGTGTTGACCAGCCAAAGGACCATTTATCCCAAGTCAGTTAAAATTGGAAGAAGATATTTTAGGGCTAATTGGGACAGATTATCTGCGTTTCTGATGGTCATTTCTGTTACTTTTAACTAGTGCTTGGTTTCTAGCTGTCTGCACTGTGAAACTTTATGCACCCAACTGAGAATGCAGCAAGCATAACCTCAAGTGATGCCTCTCATTACTATTACTCAGTAGTTTCTTTCTTTGTTGCAGTTTTGCTTTCGGCTATCGCAGCTTCCAC